CTTTCTGTGTCAGAGAGAAAAGAAGTTTTATTGTATTTGTGGAATTTGCCCTGAAGGCCTAACGTCTAAAACTGGTCCATGTTTAAATGTTGGGTTATGAAATCTGTTTTTTTTTTAAGTTGGAAAAAGAGAAAAAAAAAAGACCCAAAGTCTTTGAGGAGGAGGGGGGGTCTTATGACAAGTCCCGAGCTCGCAGTCTGCCTCAGAGTACAACAACAACAAAAAGTGTCTGGTGTTCGTCAAATCAGTCTGTATGCACCGTCCTTGTCCATATATTTGTCCCATGATGTCCCACCCAGTCTCAGGTCCATTCAACACTGGTCTCCACTGCATCCAGATTCCATTTCATCAGTCTTTTGGAGAGAGGTGGAGAGGGGAGGAGCAGCGATGGAGAGGAGAGTGGAGGGAGACGGAGGAGTCATCAGCAGTGTTTACGGTGTGGTCTCTCAGGAGGCATCCTGACGCCCCGGCCTGCCCTGGCCCGGCCTTACCTCCCCTCGAGTCAAGACAGTGCTCCAGAGTGAGGGAAAGCAGGTCAGGAGGTGAAGGGGTTTTGTGACGTAGGAGAGGAGGAGGTTGGCTCTGCCAGTCTCCTGTGTTCAGCAGTCAGAGTCCAGGCCCCCCTCCCTTCACTCCTCCTCTTGAGAACACCGACGGAGGAGACAGAGCATTGTGAGGAAAACGTTTAAAAGGTGGGCCGTTACTATGGCGATTGTGTGGCTGGACTGCTTTGGGCAGAGCTGGGGGACAGACTGGGGCTGCAGCTTCCTGGGGGGGCACCGCTCGGCCGGCTGCCTGTGGCCCCGCTTTCCAGACCTTCCGAGTTCTCCAGCATCTCCTGGATGAGAGGGGGCATGGAGCCGGGGATCTCCATCTTCAGGGTGATGACGCGCTCAGCGCCTGTAGAAGGGACAAGAAAATATAAGCAACCAAAGTTCAGACCAAACACGTTTTAAATATCAATTCATTCTTTCCATTGTACACCATTTAAACATGATAGAGAGAAAGATGCATTTCTAAAATGTCAACATGTTCAGAATTATCAATGATGTTTAAGCCGAAATAAACCAATAGTTTACAGATAAACCACAAAAGACAAGTGTGGAGCACAGACCTTTAGCACTGATGCTTCTCAGATCAGTGATCTTCATCAGCATCTTGGGGAACATGTGCGGTTTGTGGGGCCTCCTCTTCCTTACATAAATTTTGAGCGCCTCCAGCAGGGGCTCCTGCAGGACGTCCACCTTCTCTGCCTCTTCCAAGTCCTGACGATCTGTGGACGAACACCAAGTACAGAAAATGTGTGTCAGTTTCCTACCTATTGTCATGATCAGAAAGAACCACTAGGTGGTGCTCACTGAAAGAGTACAGCACAGCATGGTCACTTCATTTCATTTTCATACAGAGGTGACATCCTGTCCTCCAACAAGGTGTTAAGAGTATTCACATGCAGCATGTTGGGTGTAGGTTTTTAAGGGGCTTTGTACCTCCACACAGCAAACAGATGGCGCTGAGCAGCCCTGTCTCTGCATCGTCCATCTCCAGAGGAAGGAGCTGGTTGGCGAAGGCGAAAACCAGGTCGGTGAGGGGACCAAAGCCGGCGTTGTGCATCTGGGTTCGGTTTAACGTGAGTCCATCTGAGAAAGTCATGGTGTCTTGCTCTGGTGTGTAGCGTGTACAGATCCGCAGTATCTGTGGGCAGCAGAGACAGAACAGATTGTTCAGACACTTTTTTAACCACTCCGCTATTTCCTTTTTCAAATCTGGGCAGTGTTCGGTAACATTTTGTGAGCTGGGCTGTTCTTACCAGGATGTCCAGACAGGCGGCTTTGAGCAGGGTGATCTGGTCAGCGATGGTGAGCGTCGTGAAGCCGGGCAGCTGCTTCGCAAACTCCACTGTCTTTATGATGCACTTAGTGGAGAGTTCGCTGAACTTGTCCCATAGGTCTACGTCCAAGGACACACGTCGTTCTGAGCTGTTACTCTGTAAGAAGGGGTTTTAGATATTTACAACTGACCACAGATTTTCAGGTTACTGTAACTGTGTGCATGTCACAACACTAACCGTAGTGTATTTGCCCAGCTGGCAGAGAGAGGGGAAAGTTTCCTTGTGTGCCTTGCGAACCCTGTCGATCATCTGCTCTGTGTCGGGACTCAGCACGTAGCTCTCCGTACACTCCTGCTTCTTCTCATCCTTTTTCTTTTTATTCCGGTCGTTCCTCACGGCTACAGGGAGAGAAAGAGGTTCGGTCAAATAAAACACCTAAGCTTTAATTATCTACATTTATAAAGAGTGGTTATCACAAGCAATAAAACAGCAATGCTAATGAGATTGCTTTAAAGGGCGTAGCAACCACAAACTGGTTACTATGTGTCAGACATTAGCACCACCTGACACCACCTCAAGGAAAACTGAGATCATGATCAAAGTCATCAGTGGGGAAGGATGTTCCGTCTTTGTCAAAACGCAGCAGCAACTGCAGCTTCATGTGTCTTATCTACTGCAATAAGATAAATGTTGTCAGACAGCTATGGTAATGGAAGGGAGGTGGAAAAAACTTGAAATAATCCAGCGGTGTTTGCCTCTGGGCAATCTGGCTGAGAATAGTCTGTTCACCCAAAATGACAAAAAAACACCAGGCGGGGTGTTTAGCATTGGAATCCCATTACAGGCTCCATCCATTTCTCCCGGCCTATCCACGCTGGGGTGCAGTTTAGCAATGACTTGGTTGTGTATGTGTGTGTTGAGGGTGGGGGGTGGGGGTCTGGTGAGATGGGGTGCTACTTGATAAATAGTGGTGGGGGATGGAGCTATCCATAAGGCTGACAAATTGCCACAGCTTTCATTAGGGGTTCCCGGCTAATCTAATAACATAATATGACAAATATCCTGCCTCTAATGGTTTTAAAGGGCTCGGCTGCTCAGCTCAAAAAAACCTTCCAGCTTTCTCTCTCTCTCTGTCACACATTTCTCCCCCTCTCTCTTGGTTATACAACAAGCGCTCGCCTTTCTCGCTGTACTCTCATTTTGTTCCATTCTCGCCGAAGCACGCTATGTCTCCATTTTAAAATTGTATTGCCTTAGCTTAAAATCCCCACCCCAGCCCTCCCTAAAATCCTCTATCATTTCTCTCATCTCTACCTCCCCTCAGGGTACCTGAATTTCGCCCTAGCAGCTGACCTCAGATCAGATTTTCCTCGTCTTAATCCTAACCTTTACCATTAAGGGCCAGAGAGCTCAGGCTGATGGGAGATCAGTGTCTGTGACAGGGGGGCCTGGCCCGGGGCCAGGCAGGGATGCACTAGTTGGAGCTGCTGCTCATTCATCAGCCCACAGACAGGCCTCCCTGCCTGGGAGAACATGAGAGGAAGGAGGAAGGTGGGGGCTGGAAGTCTGATGCTGCACTATGTTACTGCTAAGCACTGTTCGCCAAAACAAGACATGGATAAGACCCTGCTGAGCATATAGAGCATGGTAATGCATTATTTTCCAGCATTTTATTGCTACTGTGGTAGGTTAGCTTAACCATAGTCACGAAAACGCATGTGGACTTACAATGGAAAACACAGCAGTAAAGTGTGATAACCAATATTTGACACTATGTAAGGACATAAATCATTTCAGTGAAAACAAGCAGTACAAAGCCTTCCACTTCCATTTACTGTAATGAGCTAATTATGACTTAGTTAGCGACAAAACACCCTCGTAAACAACCATCAATTTTTGAGGCCAGTTGCATAAAATGGTAGTAGTGCTGCTGAACATATCTGGGCCTGCTCTGCTTGTGGCACTGATTGGGAATCTGCGTCCTGTCTGTCGTGAGGGGAGGGGCGGAGGGGCCGCAAAACAATCGATGTCCAATTAATTCACAAATAAAAGTGGGGCATCCCTAGTGCCCAGACATTACCCACACTGACAAATTGGCAGCACAATCATAAGCCGCACAACACAATTTAATGAAGTCATTAAAGAACTATTAGGCACGACTGGCGATCTGTCATGGCGAATTGCCACATGCAATAACTTGGAGGAGGGGGGGGACTGTGGCAGGGGAGCTCAAATGAAAGAAATACTGCCTTTGGTTTTTTATTATGTGCATGAGTGTGTGTGTGTGCGCATTTTTATGTTTGTGTGGGTGTTAAGTTCAAGCAATGCATCTTTCAAAATGCATTATGAGAATATGAATGCTAATGGGGGGACTTGCATCCTGAATTGTTTGTGGTTACATGTTCATTGCATAAAAATGATTTACACGAGCCAGTGTGTAACGTGAACGGAATACTGTAACAGTGTAGATATGTGTACACACACACACACACACGCACACACACACATGCACACACACACATGCACACACACACACACACCACTCAATCATTTGTTCTCATTGTGGATTTCAGCTGCAACGTGCAGTTAATAGACAATTTCTGTTAGTGCCTCAGTGTGTATGTATTTCTGTGTGTGTGTGTGTGTGTGTGTTTGCGTCTGTGTACAAGACAGAGAGGTGGGCAGAAAGGGATAATTCGTGTGAGGAAAATTAAAGCACTGGCAGCTCGTCCATCACACAGATTAAATTCAATGGAAAGATAAAAATGTCAATGTTCCCCCCGCTCCTGCTGCTCGAAGCGCAGAGCCACCGTCGACAGTGATGAAACTTTCTCCCTCCCTCCCTCTGTCCTCCAGCCTCTCTCTTCCCTCCCTCCCTCCGCTCTTTTTCTCTCCCTCTCTCAACTCCTCAGTTTCATTCTCACTGCTCTGCCTTCATCTCGCTCCACTATCCTGCCTTCCTGGCTGATGTTATCCTCCTCCTTGCGCAGTTCTACATCATTCTTTGCTTCATCTTATTTTACTTTTATTACTTTTTTCAATCGCTGGATAACACCGTCCTCGAGGAACTAGTGGGATATAGTTTTGAGAGCTTTAAAGAACGAACAGGGAGGGGATGAAGAAGGGAGGGAGGTACTGAGGGGTGACAGCTGCTCTGAACTGTATCATGAACACATTGTGGAGGATTGTGCAACTGAACCATGTGATCACTCCTCAGGCACAAAAAAACTTTAAATAGAGAAATGCACGCAGGGGGAATTTACTTAACTAACTATAGTATGACTGTGCTTTAAATTAAATGTGGCAGAGTCTACTTAGGTCAGTGTTTATCAAAGCAAAGCTGGTTTGCAACGTCTTATATTTCTATGAGCACTCAGAATTAGATTCCTCCTACATATTCAAATTTTAAATCATTACAGACTATCTGATGAGTAAAATGTAAATCAAAACAAATGTCTGGCTGTTTTATGTAGCAGAAGTGTTTGTTCCCAACTTGTTACTAATCCCATGACCACATTCATGCTGCAAACTACTTCACTGGCCTGAGGGCAAAGTGAGCATGAATCTTACTTTGGAACATTATTGTAATTATTGCTATCTAGATATAAATCTTGAGTTTTCTTTAAGTATTTATTTGGGTTTTCTCCTGGTGCTCGGCTTCCTGCCACAGTCCAAAGACATGCAGATTGGGATAATCAATAAGTGAATGTTGGTGTGAAAGGTTGTGTGTCTGTGTGTGTCGGTGACCTGTCCAGGGTGTACACCGCCTCTTGCCCAATGTCAGCTGGGATTGGCTCCAGCTCCTCTCCTTCACTTTAAAAATAAGCGGTATAGATAATGGATGGACACAGTTTTAAAAACGTATGATTTATTCATGGAAAGATAATTGGTCTAACCACACACTGTCAGGTTAATAACAATGTGGCACCAGCCTACACGACAGGCGTTTCCTTGTAACCCTCCAATTACTCCAAACACCCCCTTTCCCTTTCTCCTATACGCCATCTTGCTTGGCATTGCCACCTGGCAGCAGGCCTGGGCACTGTTGTCTGGAGCTGTCTGCCGGCAGACGCAAGGTCACCCAGACGTCCCCCAAGAGCTAGCAGGGGGGTCCACCTTCTGTGTGTGTGTGTGTGTGTGTGTGTGTGTGTGTGTGTG